AGAGAGTTTATTTAAACTAGATCTTGCGTTTCCCCATCATAAAATCAATTATGGTGGTTGTCACGAGGTGTTAACTAAATGAACAATTACGGATTCTATTTAATTAACGTGGCAGTAGGCTATTAAATTAAATCAAATACCCGGCCGTTGATATTCAATCAAAAAAATACCCAAGAACAATTAATTCAGGAAACGCACGAATAACAATAAATTGGGAGAAATAATGAAGATTCGATTAGATTTTACAGATATTATGGACCGCGCCCTCGCGTTAACCTTTGGGTAGATGAGGAAATTAGCCGCTCCTCATCGTGTCAATCCCGCGTGGTTTAATTGAAGACACCCGCGCAAACATCACAGAATTTGAAACGCTGAAGTACCGAAGAAAGAAAAAGGAAAAAGTCTTCCTTGTCTCCGCTTTGATGTTTGTACTGAAGCCCCAAAAGTATACGCACAAGCCAACGGAAATTGTATAGAGCCAAAGTAAAAACAAAAGAGTCAAAAGCGCCCAAACCAAGAGCGAAAACGAAAAAGGTCTCTGCCGTCTGACGGCTAGGGAACGAAAATTAAAGCCTAAAGTAGATGATGTCCTTGAATCTCCCTTTCTATTCTTTATATAGTCGCCGTCAGGAGCTTCTCAAACGTGACCCAATTGATTGAAACAAAGGGACTTTTGGAGTTTTAATCCCGTGCTCCTCGCGGTTCACGTGGACCGCAGTCCGGCTTTCGGTTTTGTCCACCTTCCAAGGCGTGGCCACGCTCTGAAATCAAAGGTCTTCTGAAAATTTGCCTCGCGAGATCATTTTTTATGCCAACCACCTACAATTCACACAAATGTCGAATATGAGTGGAATTCCAGTTCTTAACACCGTGAATAGTCAAAATTAGGACAAAATAACATTGCAAAATACGCCAAATAACCGTTCTATCATTGTACTCAAATACTCCAAGATTTTATATTTCACTAGTTAAAATATCATTAAAAACTAAAAAGCCTCAAAGTATATTTAGTGAGATACCTTATTCAGGATATATGAATTTCATAACAATAGTGCAAAGATTGGAACTTTCAAGTTTGCTGGGTACTTGTAACACTTCAACCACAACAAGGCCAAATTACTTGGGTTTATGTTTAAAATTTTATTGTAGGCACTTTCAAGGAACTGAAAATTATTTTTTCTTCATTCTTAATTTCTTGTGAGTTTTTCGACTTTCATAAATTGTTTTCTTTTTTTTTTTAATATATTTGATGAAGACCTTTGAATTTGCCCTTTCTGTAACGTGATCATCAACTGTCGGTTCCAGTTTCGCACAGGCTGCTTCCCTCTTAAACCTAGCGGTTTTGCCAATTTCTCTCTCCTACCAAAACAACTTTGAATTCTACATGCATTGCTGTCTTTCCCTTATTTACTCTCCCCATATACTACGTTGACTTAATTCTCCATAAAAATCAAATGAATAAATTATATATACATGGTCAGTGTATAAACTATCATGGTTGGATGAATGACACATGAACAAATTTTGAATTTCAAATTTAAATTTTGCATATGTAGCATATATCTAATGGTGATAGTGTATATACTAATAATATATATATAATTATTCCAAATCAAATCCCTTATTTACTGTCCCCATGCATTGATGTCTTCTGTCTTCTATTTATAGAACTTTATGATGTAACATTTCCGTATATTCCTAGATCGCAATAAACTTTTAAATGTGTTTGATGCATAAAAGTGGAACTTCATTATATATATAAATGTTTCAAGAAGATTTTTTTTTTTGGCAAATCTTGTATATAGGGGAGCGGTGCCAACTCTAAGTAAATATTTTGTGAAAAGAAGAAAAACATAAACTTTACTTCCAAAAATATGCGTAAAATAGTAGTACTACACTTATAAAATAAGAAAAAAATTAGCATTTACAAAAAAAAGGAAAAACCTATTCTTTTTGGTTAACAAATCCCCTATGTAGGGAACGATGCCAACTTTAAGTTAATATTTTGTGAAAAGAGGAAAAATGAACACTATTTTCGAAAATGTGCATGAAATAGGGGTACTACTCTTACAAATAAGAAAAAAAATTAACATTTACAAAAAGAAGGAAAAACCTAATCTATCAATTCTGATCTCGTTTCTTGCAAATCGTGCTAGGACTAGTTCGCCATTAGATCCATTTGAATAACTTTAATGATGTCCCACACTGGACAAGATATCAACTACTTTCTTTATTTTTTTGGAGAATTGGCGAGCTTTATATAACAAAATAAGAATTTACACCATAACCGTCAACTTTTCCCTCTTATCTTCCTCTACAATTCTAGAAGATTATAGGGGAAATTTGACTCAAAAATAACTTTATCAACCCTTTTGAAATAACTAGCCATAAAGTCAGCAGCTTGATTACATTGGCGATATACAAAAAATATAGTCAGCTCCTTGAAATATGAGATTAAATCCTTTATATCAGAATATGCAACTATAGCCTTCCAAGGATAGTCAATTTTGTTATTTAAGATAAATGCAGCAAGCTTTGAATCAGTGCGAACCTCAATACGTTCCCATCCTTTGAGTTTAGCAAACACCAATGCTTCCTTGATGGCTTCCAACTCATGGATTAATATTGAGTCAGCGCCTACTCCAATAGCCCCAGCTGCTAAGATGTCACCATTCTCATCTCTAAGGATGAAGCCTTCACCCCCTATGTCTCCTCGGACTGAACCATCACAATTCAAGCATTTAATTCTAGGTTTGGGGGCTTCCCATTTGCACTAGAATATAGTTGGATGAAAGAAAGCAGCTTGAAGTCTCCATTTTGTGGCTAAGGATCTGTTGGTTGGATTGTCCTTAACTTCACAGTTTCTCCCAATCTTCTTTTGTACTTGATCTATAATAGTCTGGGCCAATGCTGTTAGTGATCTGCTTTCCTAGCGAAACAAGCGATTGTTCCTTTCTTGCCATATAAAATAGACAGCAGAACAAAAAGATAGCTTGCGTAAGAGACCCTTTAGCTCTACCCCTCTGATATGTAAACAAAGCCAATTGAGAGTTTGTGACCAATTTTGGGTCTCATTGAAAGTCAGCCCAAGAAGACTAAGAAGAATCTTCCACACAACCTTACTATAGGAGCAGTGAAAGAATAGGTGGTGAACAATTTCAATATGCAACTCACATAAGCAACAGGTCCCATCATTTGTAACATCATATTCACACAACTTAGTCTTTTGTTTGGAGTGCTTCTCTTAATGTCAGCCAAGCAATGAAAGAATATCTTGGTACTAAACCTTTAAACCATATCAGATTATACCAATGAACTTTTTCTTGTCGTGTCTGGATAGCATTCCAAGCAGATTTGGTAGTGAAGTTCCCAGACGGTGAGGGTCTCCAAATGATTCTGTCTTGCTGGTTCTTTAATCTTGGAATAGAGTGTAATTCCTGCCAGAAGGTGCTTAAACCTGGAAGAGATATATCTGGTGGTCTCCATTGCTGTTCGTGGATAATGTTTGAAACTTTGTCAACTTGCAATCCATAGTAATCAACGGAGTAGCCCAACTGAAGGAGTTCCAAATGACATCTCGAGGGTGCCATGGTTCAAGCCAGAGATAAGTACAACTACCATTACCGATGAGATGAGTAATCAACTTTGAGGTTTCACCCCTAGTCTTAAGAATGCTACGAGTAGCCCATGAGCATGAGTGAAGAGTTTTCATAGTCCAGATAGAGTCTTTTTTGAGGTATCTTCCCTTAAACCAGAGGACCCATAGTGTCTTCTTAGATGATGCAATGCGCCGTAGATGCTTCATAAGGTTGGCTGTATTGCATTCAGTGAGTTTTCGTATCCCAAGTCCTCCTTCCTTTTTCGGAATTGTGACTTTTTGCCAACTAACTTTTGCTTGAGCAGGGCTAACATCAGAGCCTGTCCAAAGGAATTTGCATAGCATTTGCTCTAATTTATCTTTGATAGTGGCTGGGATTCTGAAAATATTGAACCAGTAGAAAAGTCTTCCCATGAGAGTAGATTTAATAAGCTGTAGTCGGCCTGCATAAGATAGGCACTTAGCTTTCCAATTTGAGATGGCATCTAGAAGAGGCTGGCAATCCCGGGGTTTTAGCTTCTTGGAAATAAGGGGTGTCCCCAAATAAGTTATGGGTAGCATCCCCTCATACATGCCTAAAATTCTGCAGATGTCAAGACGAAGTCCAGGAGTAGCGTTACCAAAAAACATATTTGATTTGGACAACTTTGCAAAAAGGCCTGGGTCGGTACTAAACTCATGGAGAATAGAATTTATGGTAGCAGCATTCGAAGTAGAGGCTCTAGAAAAAAATGAACAAATCATCTGCAAAAGCAAGATGAGTGACAAAAGGGTTAGTGCAAATTTGGTGAGGGACAATGTCACCAGAGTCAAAGCCATGATGGAGCCTATCTGAAAGGTTTTAGAGGACAAGAATAAAAAGGTATGGTGACGTAGGATCTCCTTGACGCAGTCCTCTCGTCCCAGCAAAATACCCTACTGCTTCCCCATTGACCTTGATTGAGAATTTTGTGCCACATGTACAGGATTTAATCCAAAGGATAAACTCCCTAGGAAAATTTAACTTTTGAAACAAATGAAGCAACAAATCCCATCTCACAGAGTCAAAAGCTTTCCTCAAGTCTACCTTGATAGCCATGCTTGGAGGGCCTGTAGATAAGTGATAATTATGCACAAGCTCATGACACAACAAGATATTCTCATGGATTAACCTATCACGAATAAAAGTAGATTGGTTCGAGCTAATCAAGGAGGGGATCACATGTTGTAGACGGGTGGAAATAATCTTGGAAATAACTCTATATATCATATTGCAGACTGATATAGGACTAAAATCTACAAAAGTTTCTGGCTGTGATGACTTGGGCACAAGAGTTACAGCAGTAGCATTGACTTCACCCAACATCTTTTTAGATCTGAAAAAAAAATTTATAGCTCGAGTAAAATCAGGGCCAATAATACTCTATGAATGTTGGAAGAAGCAAGCTGTAAAGCCATCAGGTCCCGGGCATTTGTCACCATTGATACTAAAGAAAGCATTCTTGATCTCATTGGAGGAGATATCATTTGAAAGCCAAGCAACTTGCTCATCATTAAGTACTTTAGGTGGGTTGACCTCAAGGGGAGCGGATGAAGGTTGGCCTTGAGAGGCAAAAAGTTGTTGGAAATAACTGATAGTTTCATGCTTGATGTCATGCCCGTCTTCTAACATCCTCCCCAGTATGTCCATGATCCTGAAAATTTTGTTGTGAGCTCTACGAGATTGAAGGGACCTATAGAAGTAACCATTGTTCAAATCTCCAAGCTGTAGCCACAGGTCTCTTGATCTTTGTCTAAGAGCTGATTCCTCTACAGTAAGTGCCTCGAATAAGTCCTGAGATTTGCTTGATTCCTTGACTTGTAGCTCTCTGTCCGTAGGTAGCAAATCAAATGCTTGTTGAACCATAGCAAGCTGATTTCTGAGATCCTTTATTCTTGCAGATATATTTCCATAGGCTTCACGGTTCCAAGATTTGAAATGATTTTTTAAGCACTTAAGCTTTTGAGTTAGGATATACATAGGATTACCAAACATTGGGGTAGCCCATTCCTCTTGTACTATGCCCATAAAAGTAGGATGTTTCACCCGATGATTAAAGAAGCGAAAAGGTCTCGGGGTGCGAGAGACACCCTTGTAGAGAGGAATGACCATAGAAGAGTGGTCAGAGATACTAGGATTGAGAAACAAAGCCTCTGTGCCCCCTAGTTTCATATTCCATGCATAATTAACTAATACCCGATCCAGCTTGCAACAAATTCTGTGGATGCCATCCTGCTTGTTTGTCCATGTATATTTCAAGCCTCTCCATTTAAGATCATCCAAGCCGCAATCAAACAAACAATTCCCAAATGAGCGGTCCCTGGGATTTACCGTAAGTCCCCCAATCTTTTCATCGATTTTTAGTACTGTGTTGAAGTCACCAAGAACAATCCATGGGCAGTTACTGTCCACATTTAATTGTACTAGGTCATGCCACAGGCATTCTCTTCCATCAATAGAATTACTAGCATAGATAAAAGTAGCTAATAATGATAAAGAAGACTGTGTATCAACAATTTCAGTATGTAAAAATTGACTTGACAACTTAATAGTTTTCACAGATGCCTTTGACGGATCCCAAAAAATCCAAATCCTTCCATTATGATGGCATGCATAGTTGTCTAGTTTAACTAGATAGGGCCCAATGGTTCTAGCAATTCTATCAGCATTTTTCTGTTTTACACGAGTTTCCAAGAGTCCAAAAATAGATACTTCGTTATTCTTGATCCAGTTCCTTATTTTAGATTGTTTTGCATCAGAGTTCATACCTCTGATATTCCATGCTCCTATAACTATCATTGGCATTGAGACGAATAAGGACCAGGGCTAAAACCCCCTTTCAATAGTACCTTGGTCACAAGAGGATCCATTGGTGAGTCATCAATAGAAGACATTTCGTCACAAACCTTTGTCACTGAGGTATGTTCATGAGATTGCAAGGCTATTGCATCCTGTGAAGGAGGACGATGAAGGTTTCCTGGGGTGCATGAGAAGTCAAGTTACTATCATTCACTTGAGTGCAAGGGATATCTGAATTTTCCAAATAGGTAAGTGAGGCAAATCTGTTGTCGATGGAATTGAGATAGGCTTTTTGGGGTAAAGTGGTGGATGGCGATGGCATAGATGGAGAAGATATATGTGGTTTCAAGGGACGAGGCTCTGTAGTTTGGTGTGTCAAGGTTTTAAGAGCTAAACCATGAGGTAAAGTAGTGAGCAGGGATTTGTTGGCTTTAGAGTTGAAGGTTTTTGGTGGGTCAGTGTAAAAAAGTTCAGGGGTGGGTAACGGAGGGCCTTTAGGCGTGAGGGCACATTGTGGGGGCTATGACCCAAAGCCTTGCAATGATTGCATCTTTGGGGTCTCCATTCATACACTATAGGCTGAGAAACCCATTTGTCGTCTTCCCCGACAAATTCAACTAAGTCAGGCAACTCGTCATCAACTCCAATCTCAACACAGACCCTTGCATATGTTAATCTAGCTTTGTCAGCAGTCATTTTATCAGTGAAAAGAGGCATCCCAACCAAACTGGTTATCCTACCTATGGAATCATTACCCCAATATTGCAATTACAATCCAGGAAGACGAATCCAAATTGGGACGGTAGTCACTCCCAATTTTTCAATATCCAAGCTTGGTGACCAAGGGATAAGGATAATAGGTTTACTGTCATAGGACCATGGACCGGATTCCAAGATGTATTCTTTATACGATGCTTTCTCAAAGTCAAAGAGAAAAATTCCATTTCCAAGAGTGTAGACTCTGGGCAATGTAGATGCTCTCTAATTCATTTGCACAAACTTTAGCATAATTTGATGAGAAGGGGAAGAACCCAAAACAAAGCCGACCAATGCATTCTTCCAACAATCAATTTTTGGTTGAACAGAGTGTTTTGGACAAACAGCAACCCGTTTGCCATTTATGATCGAAGGGGGGACGAAAGAAAGGGTAGCATTCTCGCTTTGAAAGTTATTTGAAGCAAGTATGTTAGACCAGGAAGGTCTAGGCTTTGCAACTGAAGTTTGTTGTAAAGAGACAGTAGTTGGTTCAATAGATGCGATTGTCAGCTCAACATTTTGTGGTGGGCAAATTGGTGAGCTTGTTTGTTGCTGTGAGGAAGTAAGTGGGGGAAAAGCAGAAAGTTCCAAAGACGGAATAAGTGGGGGAGAGGGATAGGAGTTGGGTTTACCCCCACGTCCCCCACGACCTCTTGCTCCACCACGGGAGCTAGTTCCAGGAGCATAGTTTTGGCGTTTAGCGATTGGGGGTGCTATAAAAAGAACAGGTGTGCGTTGTGGGTTAAAACCTTGGGTTGAAGAGCCCATGTTGCTGCAGAATTTTGCTTAGAGAATTTATCAAACAGATGGTGGGTTCTAGACTTTTGGATGTGGGAGTGAAAGACGGACAAGGTAAGAAAAGGATAAATTTTGGGTGGTCTTAGAATTAATCTGGGGATGGTTCAGGGGTGGCCATTGCTTTCGAATTAATCTGGATGTGGGCTACTACTTTCTTTATTTGCTCTCCGAACTCAATGAAAAACCAAGGATGAACATATTGGACAGGCGAGATAGCTCTAGGGGTGGCAATCAGATCCAAATCGAGTTGGCGGGTTGGGTTGAGACTTGGATATAACAGAAAATCCACTGACCCAAACCTGACCTGCCAACCCGAAATGGGTCAGGATACCTGATCCAAACCCGAAAATTTTAGGTTGGCGGGGTCGACCCGAAATAACCCAAAACTTAATTTTAATTTATTAATTTACCACTGTAATTTCTAATAAAATCAATTTCGCACTAGACTAATTATATAATCAAGTAATAAAAATTTAAATAAATAATCCCAAACCAAATCTAAAATAAATTAAAACACTGTAAAAGTGTTTTATCCTAAACCAAATATAAAATAAATTAAAACAGTATAAAAGTAAAAAATAATATAATACATTATATGTTCAAATATAATAATTTCAATTTCACACAAGTTAAATAAATTCATTTAGGATTAAGTGATTAATGCCTTTTGAAAAAAAGAATAACTTAGTTTAGTTAGATGAAATAATTTTTATGTTATTAAATTATTTTTAATTCGTAAACGGGTTATCGGGTCATATCGACTCACCCATGGGTTGATTCGAATTCGACCCGTTTTCTTTTCGAGTTCATTGGATTCTACCCGATTCTGACCCGAGCCTGCGAAATCTCAACCCAAACCCATTAATTTCGTGTTAGATTTGTATCGTGTTTTTAGATCGTATTGAAAATTGCCACCCCTAAATAGCTCAATTAAAACAAATACTTAAAAAAGCTCGTGGAGTTGTCACTATAAGTTGTCCAGCTGCACACTTCCATTTTTTTTTTTTAATCAAATGTAAACAATCTACACCTACACCTACCCTTGGCTAATTTCTCAGATTATAGCCAAAAAAATAAAAAGCTCGTGAATTGTTGCTCTAACAGAGCCTATGTGCTGAACTACGCAGCACGGCAGTATAGTTAATTTTTTTTTTAAATGGCCAAGGCTACCGTATTTACTAAGTACGGCAGCCAACAATTAGGGCACAATGCCTGCCGTGCTTAGCAATGGCAATACTAATGGGAGCTGAAGAAGTAGAGCGAAAGAGTTAATGGCAGTACTAATAGTAGCGCCACTAGTATTGAGATGATAAGAGAAGAACCTTCGGGATTTGGTGAAGATTGAAGATGTTGCTGCTGTTGTGGAGATAGAGTCGGGCATGCCTCCTTTCTTCAAACCGCACAACGAATTTACTCTGGCATTCTCTTCCTTCCTCCTTTTGGCTTGTAATTAGGGATAATTTTAGAAACCTCAATTTATGATAATTTCACTTGACTTTGTTTAAAGTTTTAAAAATTACACCTCCCTCCCTTGCCAATTTAAAATGACAATACTAGTTTTAATATTTTAATAAAACTCCTTTTTTTTATCGCTTTTAATATCATCCAATTTTTTTTGTAACTTTTAGTTCCTAATATCTATCCAAATCAAACGTTAAACTAATAATTTTTTTTATAACTTTTAATATCATTCAATTTTTTTGTAACTCATTTTTTTGGTATCCAAAATTAAGAATAAATCAACAATAATTAAAACTACATGGCCCAAAATTATTACCAAACTATGGTAATTCCATCATTAAAATAGTCCATAAACTTTAAAAAAAAAAAAGATAACACTTTCTTTTCTATTTAGAAAAAATCTATATCCCCAATAAAGCACTATAAAAAAAAAAGTCTATTATAGCAAAAAATTTATTGTTATAGTTAACTATTAAATAATAAATATTGGCGTGAAAAATTTGAGACTCTTTTTCTTTTACAATTGTGCCAAATTACTTTACAATTTTTTAGAAGAATAAATTTAAACTTTATAAGATAAGGGTATTTATTAAATTTTTGATTCTATTTTAAGGTTTGGTTACTAAAGTATCAAATTAAGGGAGGTAAGTGTAATTTTTAAAACTTCAAAAAAACTAAAAAAATAATAAAAAAATTTCAGGGAAGGCTTCTGAAATTATGCTTTGTAATGACTTGCTCCTGTCTTCACGGCTTTGCTGCCTAGTATTGCCAGACTGGGCTAGACCAGAATTCAATATTCTTTACTGTTTCAACGGCCTAAAGCCACGGCTACCAGGCTTCCTTTTTTTTTTTTTTTTTTCTTTTTTTGTCAAAACTTCCTGGCTTCCTGCTTGCGTCCCTTTCTGCATCCACAGAAAAAAAAAAATGGTTGGCTGCCGTGCTCAGTGCTTATTAAGCACGGCAGCCTTGGGGGCCCATTATTGTATGCCGTGCTAACTAAGCACGCTAGCTTTTGTCATTGAAAAAAAATCAGAGTATCCTGCCATATTGGGTCAACACGGCATGTATAGTTTAAGTAAACAATTCACGGACATTTTATTTTTTTGGCTATAATCTAAGAAATTAGTCGATTTGAACACTAAATCTGATAGTAAGAAGATTTTAAAAGTCCATGCCTGACCACTAGATCGAATCTAAATAGGCTAGTGCTTCTGCTTAAGTTGGTGAAAGTACAAAGACTGTTAATTGAGTGCTCGTGTATTAGGTTGCCACAAGAATCATGCACTACCCAATCAATCACTGCCATCCTCATTGTATATTATTGGAAAGATCGAGGAGGGTGCGTTAAAGAAAACAAGAGGTAGACTTGCAGCCATTGTGAGAAACGCGTATAGAGTAGCTTTTTGATCGTTAGTCTTGATTTTATTATTACAAGGTAAAAGTGCACTAGAACAGGTGGCTGGATTGTTCCAAGAAATTCAGAAACTTTAATCAAGAAGATACGTGTAATTAACAACACAATAAAATGAGAGTTTATTCGCGAGATAGTAATAGCATATCTGGTGCAATATAAATTGGCTTACATTTATTTCCACTGATTTAGTTATTACATCCAATTCCATAACTGACAAAGCCAAAACAGATTGAATCTTATCCTTCGAGGAACTTCTTGTACCACATCCCTGATTTCTTAGGGGTTCTGGTTAGGTTATTGTTGTAATCCACAAAGGTAATGCCGAATCTCTGTGTAAAACCTGAGCCCCATTCAAATGTGTCCATAAACGTCCACGGAAGGAATCCTTTTACCCTCACGCCATTGCTGAAAAGAAATGAAAAGTTTAATTAGAAACTAATTTTTTTTAAAGACATAATAGTACCTTATACTACGTCGATTACTTCTTTTTTTTCATATGATTAATGCATAAAAACATCTCTAATGCAAGAACAATCAAATGGCTCAAAGGACAATTAAGTATTGCGCTATT